CAAATTTATATAAAATTATATTAACAACGTGATAGTCTTGCTTCTTCGTCGAATCCCCAAATAAAGTAGAACTGCATCAAAACAGTGATATAGAGTAAAACTGCAGTCGTCGAATTGAAGCAATTCTGTAAATTCAAAGTAAAGAAACCACATAAATCAATTTCCAAAGTAAAGCAATTGACTTGTAAGGCGAATTGTTCAATCTATAAATTAAGAATATAAAATACTATGTAATCTTTTTTCTTTTTAAGTATGGTATATATAATAACAACCGTTTTGTAAAAGTTCCAATGATGCTCTGAGCTGTCATTAAATCCACTTAATATACTAGCCGCACGCTTACCGTACTCGACTCCAATCTCACTTATGCAGTCGATAAAGTATATTTTAACCCAAGTGCTGACCACAAACAGGAAGGCAAGTAGACTCGCCAATGTCGCACAATCTTTGACGATTATGTATATGACACCGCAGAAGCAAAAAGCTATAATCCAACAAAGGCAACAGAGGCGTGTTAATAGCAAAGGAAGTTCGTAGGCTTCTTTAACTTTTCCAATTAACTTTAGCAAATGCCAATGCACATAGGCCAATCGCTGAACTTCTAGGCTAACTTTATCCAGAGCCAATAGTTGAAGTTTCTTATGCACTCTAGCATCAACAATTTTATTCCTTATTCTCTGCAAATGACCTAGCTGCTCATTAATTCTGGATAAGCTATTGCAGATATTTGTCATTTGTACAAAATAAGAAAGTACATTAAAAGCGATCATATTATCAGAATTACTAAAGAATAATATTATTAGTATTGAGTACCAAAACCGAAGTCTTACATCCAAATAAGTAAAAAGAGTTGAAAGTAAATAACATAGAAACACCGTAAAAAACTTAGCATAAAAAAGTTTAGTTAAAAATTTTGCTCGATTTTTGTTAGATGGGAAATATTGTACATGTTCCAGAAATAATTGACGTAATTTATTTTTTATTTTTAGCTCTTCTCGTTCTCGTTTGTATCATTGAAATACTATAAAAATTATTGTTAAAGTATATACGACCATGCTTCCTCCATATATGCATTTTAATAGTAACGTCCAAAAATGTTGATCTAGCTGTGATATGTGATCCCAAACACAAATGGGCAACAGCACGACCGTAAGAATATTCCACAAAATTGCCAGATAACGACTAAATTTTGTTTGGACATAGTTTAACGTTTCCTTATTGTAGTAATACGTAGTGATGCCTCCGATGACAGCCCAATAGTTAAAAACCGTCAATAGCACATTTTTTAATTTATTGCGTTCTCCGTACAACATTTTCACAAAGACTGTTTGTTCGAAATTGAGTTGGTCAAAAACTGTCCTTATAATTTTATAAAAGGACTTTACTTAATGCTTAAATGATACTAAATACTAACGCATTTTCATGTTAATTGTACATAAAGGTTTGATATTGCTTCTGTGGGCCCATAAACGATTACCATAAATGGTAATTGTTTTTTAAAATAATGTTCAATACTAATAATCACTTTAAACTCAATACACTGTTGCGATTATATAGTTAATTGAAATATTTCCTTGAAAAACTCTAACGATATTACATTAATTAAGGCTGAAATTTAATTCATTAATCCTAACCTTTTTTGTTTTATTACTACTTTATACTGAAAAGTCACACATATATCTTTTTTAGTAAAAAATAGCTCTGAGTTACTGGATCCTTGCTTTTATAGTCAATGCTAGAGTGATTGTGATAGATGCTGAACCACAACAATACTCTAGCAAATTAATCAGGAATTTCCGGATGGCTGAGAGACTGGAAAATAAAACCCAATTAAACTAAATCCAAAATATATTAGTTTTGAGACACAACAAACTTCTTTTCTCAAGATCGTTAGAACAATGCTTTGATACTCCACTCACCGAAATCCAAATATGAGGATGCGATATGTAATTTTTAAATGGAGAGAATAAGATAATGAGAATAAAAAAAAAATTGAAATTCGGATCGATTAATTTGCAACTTCTGTTGAGCTGAGTTTCAGATCAAGTGTGTCGATGCAACAAAGTAAAAATATGCCAATAATATTTTCCAAATGAAGAAGCGATTGGAAACTCTCAAAACCAGTTGGGAAATATATTCATCATCACAATAATCAGCGTAGTGTACTCAATTAAATTTCTTTTAATATTGTTGCAAATTCGCAATAGGTTCACATGAGTCCATTTCCTTAATAGTAAGAATAAGAGTTCTAAAACCTCTATTCTCCAAGTATGCTACCCCTGACTTAACCCACAACAGCAAGTTAGAGATAACTAAGACAATATCGGCTCTAAAAGGTACCTGAATCTGCCCTGCCGATAGAAGTCTAATCTTTATGCGGTACCTGCTTATAATACAAAAAAACTTTTAGGAGAAAAAATAATAACACAAGAATTTTCACTTAACATTTATTTGTTTATTTATAATATTGCAGTAAATAGTTACAATAATCGTCTCTAATACATTTACACTAAAATATCTTTGTACACGTCAACTTTTTTAATGAAAATATTTTAATTATGAATTAATACTCAGTTTAAGTATTCGTAGATACAAATTCTGAAAACTTTTAACCGAACATCTGCACAATTGTAAAGCTTAGTTTGCCTTTGTTTTAATTATTTTAAGCAAACATACATCAAACATACTAAGATTTCTGTATAGATATCATAACTCTGACAATGCAATAGTTAACTATATAACTTTGATTATAAGAAATCAACTAATAATTTCTATTTTGATTAAAATTGCACATTTGTACTTCAGAATTGCAATATAAAATTAAAATTTCTTACTGAACAGATGATAACATGGCATACATATATATACGTAATACTAAAAATATCTATATCAACTCATATTTGTTTGTTGTTTTTGCTTTCGAAATATTTAAAACTTTCGATCACACATCAAAATCACATCATTCGTTTTATATACAATTGGTCTCTGGGGTCATAGGTTTCTTTTCTTTGCTAATAAATGTAAAAGAAATTGATTTCCGATTGTCAACTACGAAATCTGTAATGAAAATAAAAACTCACTTATATGTACATATAATGTAATAATTATATAATTAGTATATATATAATTACATATAGTATATATATTAGTATATATATAATTATTTCATAGTGATATTTATTAGGTGTATGAAGTTTAGCATCCAATCAAATAGAAAATTGCTCTTATGAATGATGCAAATGGTAAGAAAAATATATTTTTATGATTTAATAGCCTAGATGGTAAAACCAGTCAAATAGAATTAATTCCCAGATATCTTTTAAATAATTTGTTTCATATTTATTTAATTATATTCAAGCAGTATGTATTATAGTAAAAATAATAAATTTGTGTTTTTATATTATAATATATTGCGTGTATGTACTATATATTAAAAATCCTACAGGTTAGGAATTGAGTAATTGGATTTAATATTTTATAAAGCCTAACAAACTTATAAATATTAGCATTTTTGCTTTTAAAACTAGATTGTTTAATTAATTCGCGGAGATCTTCCTATTCACCAGTAGTAAAACTTGAGCTTTGTTTCAATATTGAAATAGTATTTCTTTTCCACTAAAATTATTCTAACACAAACGAGTCCTACTGTAGTTATAGTCTTTCCCATGCGGGTAGAAGTTTATAATATTCTTGACGTGAAGCATATCTGCCGTAAGAGGTGACTAAAATCCCACAACATTCCGACACTGTTTGGAGTGTTTGGAATGGTAGTGAGTGGGATTCATATTCTACTCTCGACTGGAGACGTAAATCTGGTACCACGGGGGTCGGATGACCACAGCTTCGGCTGAGGTTGACAGTGTCGCGGTGGCTATGCGAGAAGAATGAGTGATACTTATTTTTCATCATTCAGCGTAATGTTGCGTATTCATCACCATGGCAGAGATACCATGGGCCTCACTTCTACCAAAGAAGTGAGTTTAGCAAAATTATGCTAAACACATATATTCAATTGGTACTAGTGGAATTCTGAAATTCTAATGGGGCGCTGATCAGCGTCTCAATGACGCTCAATGATGGTTTTAAGTCTCAATGACATAGAATTTCACGTTAAATAACAAGTTTGCATTGAGTAGGAAACTATATTCAAACGTATAGTTTCAATTGGTGTCGGCGGAGTAACTCGTAGTTCCAATGAGGCATTTATCGGCACAATATACCGATATGTGTGTTAAGAGTACCGTGGTGTTAAGCCTTCGCAGTAGCTTATCACGTTAAAGAACTCTGGATTTCTGTCCCTATATTGTGGTTATTGTACCGTTTTCCTAGTTAATGTACTTTTCGCTTTTATCGTAGTATTATACAAATCAGTTTCATCTATTTATGCTTAGAATAGTTGTACCTATATTCGAAAATTATGCCAATAGATAAATGTTAAAGAAAGTTTATTTAAAACAGTTGAATAGTAAAGATTGTTGATATCGATTGTTCGCTTTGTATAAATATTAATGGCGATTCCTAATAAATGGCATAAATCTACAAGGTTTTATCATGAAACAAAAAAGAAATGTATTATGTAGTAGGTTTCATATTCAATATTTATAGGACATCAAGCCAAAATTTGCCCCAAATTAAATAAAATCTCGAATACCTCAAGATCGATTGTTTCAAATAGTATCATGTATTAAAGTCTTAACTATTATATGTGCTTTGATTTGATGCTTAATGTTGTTTTATATATAAAATGGATCGGAAATAACAATTAAAATATTTTTGATCAATATTTCGTAGAAGCTCAAAATTTTTTTAAAAAATTTCTTTCTATCATTTTTCTCATACCAAAATATTATTTCAACTACAAAAAATCACCTTTTTGCATTAGTTCGTACAAATAAATACTATTTATTTATATAAAAATTTTATTTACTTACCTAAAATAGAAGTTTTGTTTTTCGTTTAAAGCATTTCCATGTTTTTGTTAGTTTACTTTTTTGGCTTAAGACTATACAAAATAAAATTAAATTTTATTTAATTTTCTTTTCAATAAGTAAGCGTAAGAATTTGGTTGTGGTTGCCTTTGTGCGAAGTTGCCAACAAACAATTTTTATATATAGAAAAAAGAAATCCTTCGAAAGTCAGTCTCACTAGTTTAATCAGCCAAAAAATAAATAATATTTCTATAAGATAGACCAACCAATTTATTTGTCAATAGTAGGAGAAGCTCAAGTTAAATACTCACACAGAAACAGCAAAAACTGTTTTAGATTTTGCCGCTATTCGTCTGTGAAAAGAGCAGCCTACCGTGAATCAGTCGTTTAAATGCTCGACGAAACTCTGGATTGAAGATCGTATAAATGATTGGATTTAAAGAGGAATTGAAATAGCCCAGCCATAGAAATAATGAAGCCAGTACACCGTTTAACTTGCAGTACTTGCATAAGGTCAACACAAGTGCAGTGACGAAAAACGGAAGCCAACAACAAACAAATGCACCGGTAATGATGGCCAAAGTCTGTGCCGCCTTGCGTTCACGTTTGGCTTCAATAAGTTTCCTGCGTTTTGCGAGCTTATTGTAAGGATTTGATAAGTTTACAGGTTGTAGATTTTTACGTAAAGCGGGTCTTACTTCATCTGTCATTGTGCTTAAGTTGCTGCAGCGTCCTGAAGTTGTTGTCGTCATTGCAGCAGCATGATGCGATATAGTTGTAGCTACTTGATATGAAACGGTTGTTATTTCATCTGCTGAAGATGTTTGTATCTACGAACGAATTTAGTAATAAAAGAAGCAGAAAGAAAAAAATAAAAAAAAAGAAAGGAATTGTATTTTATTGTTAGCAAAAACATGATTTAAAAATATATAACTCAAAATAAAATAATATAAATTTCTGTTTGTTGTATTTACATCGTCGGGATCTATGGATATTGCTGTATATTCCGTGCCATGACTTCTGCTGTCAAAATTACTAGTACTGAACTCAGTTTCTTCCTGTGTATTTATAGTTGTCACTTCCAGATTGTTGCCTAGTACACGTTTCTTATTAGGGCAATGCCTGCCAAAGCATATTTCCAGACGTCTACGTTTAAGTTCAGGTGCAGTTGTCAGCTATTGTATGAAAATTAAATTGAAGATAATTACAAGTTTATGAGTGTTAAAACAATATTATTTGAATTTATCTAATAAACCGTAGCTGAAAATTGAAAAGACAGTTAAGAAAAAAAAACATTGTTACTTACATTCTAAGTGAAAACCACAATCAGGAAAAACAATGACAAGTAAGTAGTGTTATTGCCCACAACATTGGATTTATGTATCGTATATGTTACATAGGAATAAAGCAATGTCAAGAGCAGAAAGTATTTTTACAACAAGCATAAAAAGTGGAATAGGATAAGACTATTTGAAAATAAAGTTGTAAAAATTTTATTCTGTTTGTGGGTATAAAATTGAAAAAATTCATGGTCGACATAATTTGACAGAAAAGTTAACGAACTCAAGTAACAACCACAAAAGCGGATTTTTATTCAATATTTAATTTCATTCAATACTTTTTAAATATCTTTAAGATGTACATATTTTAATTTACCATCAAAATATTTTTGTTTTTATTCTTCAGTAGCACTACAATTCATATTCTATGACACTCCACTCCTCTAAAATATTATTTATCTTATTCCAATACTCTTTTACTATGTTGGATGTGTTCAACTATCAAAATCAGATGCCAGGTTTTGAAAATTTAAGTTGTTGAAGAAGCTTTAACTACATTCTCTGTAAGTAAAACGTGATAGTTGCATAAATACATATCACATGTGTGTTCTGAAAATTTCAAACATTTTCATTTTTATGCATACCCATTAATGGTTACCCATTTCATAGTTCTTAGTTGGCGACACTGTCAGATATATCAGGAGAAATAATCATTTTACAAAAAATACAATTTTTTTTAAATTATATATTCCAATTCTAATTTATGCATGCTTTACTCTTCATTGAAAGGTTTAAGGTCTTAATCTTAGCACCTAATGCACACTTCTATATCTAATTTAATCCTTTAATTTAAATTCAAATAATTAATAGAAAATATGCTTCAGCACTGCAATTAGACTCTTACCCACACATACGAGGGCTCATAAGAGCTTCATTAATTATTTGATTTGTTATTAGCAACACCCTAAAGGGGTGTATTATTGATGTAATTGATTAAACTCCACACATTTTTGCATATAGAATTGAGTACGTACTCAGGCATGTTAATGCGTTCCATTGGCGATAGATTTTTCTTTTTGTTAATGACACTCGTCTAAAGAGCACAACGCAAGGACTACGCAAGGACTATGTAATTGCTTACATTGCAAATTTATTTCTGTTTTTCTTCCTTTCCTTTTGTAGCACTTTCATTTCATTCATTTCTTCTCTTTTCTTCTTTGTTTTGCTTTTGTTAATTTATTTTATTGTTTACACATTCCCTACAATCGAGTACTTGCAAAGTACGAGTACATAATAACGAGTATGTACATACTCGAACATATGTATATCCTTTGAAGTATCATCTCACAGCTATTAACATTACGAGAACCTCTTCTATCATCTAGAAAGGAGGAAAGAGTTTTCATTCAATTCTTACTAAAGTAACTTAAATAGAAAAGCATATTGCGTGTGCACACACCTTTCTGACGAAGAATTGCTATTTTATCTTCACAATGGGAATTAACTACAGTTGAGTGAAGATAATTATAAGTTTTTAAGGTACTTAACTATATTGAGGTGATGACCAAAAATTTTTCAAAAATAATTTAGTTCACAGAGTGCACATTAAGTGAAACAATAATAGTTCTTCTTGATTTCTTGTAATATTCCATTTATCTTGTAAAAACATAGCAGTGACCAATTTCAAAGTAGTATAGATTTTCATATAATTCTATATAATCTATCACGTCCATCGGAATACTTTAGGGTTTTTTTAACTATGTAAACAAATACTAGGCGGATTGAATTCACAATAGATGGCAACACCAGAAAAAAATACTCATATTTTATATATCTGTTAAGTTTTAAATGACAACTGTAAAAGTTTCGACTTCATCAGATGTCAAGTTAGTTTTTTGCAAATAATTAATAGAGTGCACCCTGATGATTTTTTATAAAATGGAAAAAATTGTTTATCGTTCAGTTATAAAATTCCTCTATTTGAGAGAACGATAGTGTAAGGTTGCCGTAAACGAAATCCATTTCCCATTTGATAGCATCATTGTTCATTCCTTTCAAATGATGGAGGATTGTTTTAATCACAAATTGATCTGGCGTTCTACTATAGAAACAAATAAAAATTCTACCAGAAAATGTAATTGACTATCCATTTACTCTTGGATAGAGTAAATGAAATAGCTGTTATATTAAATTTAGAGACGTAGCCCTGGCAGGCGTTACATGTGTTGGAAATGTGTATATAATTAAAAATACTAGATCGTATTGTAATTAATTAGGTGAGTTGCAAAAACATTGTCAAAAGAAATTTTTTCTCATTTTTTCTCCCTTAGCACAATCCTCGCTAAAGGTTATTACATTTGATTTAGTTATATTGATCAATCTTTTATCGAATATAGGATCCGCTTTGATCCCTTAATGATTTCAAATATTTAAGTTCCTATCGAAAACACGAGCTCACACTAGTACATATCTATTATCCAACTATCATATTCTTTCAAATAATCACAGACTTAAACCGAACCATTTTACTGAATATTTACATACCAGACTGCATCAGGAGTTAGAAACATTCCATATAAGCTATTCGAGAATTCCAAGACAGACGCTTCAGACAGTCAAAATAGCGCATTTAAGTTAACAGCGTTAATAATAGGTTTCTCAATTTAATTTAACTTAACCTCAAATTAATCATTAATTCTTCACTACACACACTCCTGTCAACTATCAGCCTTCAAAGACGCAACTAAAGAACACCGATATGTGAAGATTGTGCGGTATAAAGATTAAAACGTTCGCATATCTTATCTGCTTGCAACGTATCTACTATTGGCAGGAATCGAGTCCAGTATCTTGATTTGCCTTAATTTAACCGAATGGGATCTACAGCATAACAACATTGTTCGGCTTATCAAGAGCTTTTAATTCTCTAGATTAGCTTGTGAAACACTCTCTATGAATAACATAACCCTTCTTATAGGTGGCAATTTTCATGCCAAATTGATGAAACTTTTTAGATGAAAATTAATTCTAAAAACAGAAACTTTTGTAATAATTTAAATAAAAGCATTTGTTGATTCTTTAAATTATTAATTTTTTTATGTGCAATCATAACACTTCGTCAGTTTGCTTCTGTAAGTTTTAATTATAATTTGCAGTTCTCTATAATTATAATTACAGTACAAACTATTTTAATGCCTTATACTCGTTATGAATTCAATTTCCTGAACAATAAATATTTTTTCATGGTGTGTAATAAATTCATCCATTTTATTGTTTTTAATAAAATTTCTTTTAATTTTTTTACGTATTTCTTGGTGCGGATTGCAATGACGTTCTACTTTAGGTAAAATGGAATGAAGTAAATTAAATTTGCTCCAATAATAATTTATTGCACATTTTATTAGGTAAACATCATTCACAACTTTTGTTAAAATGCATTTTTCAAATAAATACATAAATAGTGCATAAAAAAAGTCTCCCCATTTAAGTTAACAAAGCCATTTAAAATTATTAAAATTATTCTTTTTTTAACTTACTTGACTTTCATTTAACGGCCCCGCAAGAGGTCGCTTCAAGCGACGTTTTATGCGTTTTTGTGCTATTTTATAGATTTTCCAATAGAGTAAAAGTATAATCAACAATGGAATATAAAAAGTAGCAAAAGTAGCAAAAATCTGTAAGTAATGCATAGAAAAATAATTAAATTTAGCTATAGACATGTCTTACTTAACATAATTTATTTTGAAAATGAAATTAAATGAGTGGAAAAATAAGTACAGTAATCCCCCCTATAACGGCGTAGATTGGTTCCGCGTTATAGGAAAACGCGTTATAGTGGTATTCCCATATACCCCACATACACACGTACAAAGGTATACGAAGCTTATTATGAACTGCACAAATCCCCACGTTATATCGGGGAACGTCCGTGTTATATCGGAGACTGAAACCGCCTAATATGAAAACGCGTTGTAAGGGTCCCGCGTTATAGGGGGGATTACTGTATTTTTAATTTACCTGATAAGTAACGTTTTGTGAAACCATACATTTCCTCTCCTCAATACGTTTCAAGTATTCTGGATCCTTCCAACCGAACTGGGGTGCCACTGAAACAGTGATAGCAACAATCCAAATGCATATTATCATAAAAAATATTCTCGTTGGGGTGCGTATGTTTCCATAGTCAATATTTGTGACAGTCCAGTATCTGTAAATGAGAATGTGTTCTTAAATGAATTTAAAATTTATTTCACAACATCACAACTACAATCGCAACGTAATTAATTGTAAATTTATACATAAGTTTTCCATTATGTCAAAAGGTTATCTGCGTATAACGTTAACTGAAATAACGCTCTTTATTGACATTTCAGCCAAATGGATATAAAATTGTTTTAAGCACTACTATAACTTCATTACTATTACTGTTAAATAAACCCATTTCACTACTTATACTGTTTTTGTATAAAATAATGTAGTGACACTAAATTTAATTAAAATTTTACAAAATGTCATTTACTAAACTTTAATTACTTCAGGTCCTGACAATCGTACACGTCATACAAATGGTTTAATAATAAAAATTACGAAATATCTCACAACAAAATGAATAACTTTAGATGAAATTATATTTATTCTTTCACTATCTATTTTTGACTATTCAGTTATTTATATCATTTAAACAGTAGTTAAACCTTACTTCGGTACCTCATACGCCTACATGACGGTCTTTCTAATTCTCATCCTACTTGAACCTTAACTCGATCTTAGCTATCGAGCACAATTCTCTAATCTACATTGGGGTCATCCCCCGCACAAAGCACGGCTTTCATGACAACAGTTTATGATAGAATTTATACCGAATATCTGCTTTGTGATTACAGAAAGGGTTACATCTTACTGGGCTAACAACCATGGGATAAGTTAAAATTGAAACTTTGAATTTAAGGAGAAAAAGGTATACGTATTGATATTTTTAAACCATAATCTGTGTAAGATAATCACAGGTATGAGAATTGTAACTGCACAGTAATGCAATTTTATTATATTAATGCAATGTCACTATGAGGTTTTGATATTCAAGTACGCACACGTGGATTACTACATATTTAAAGAGTATAAAATAAAACACTCATACGTAGTTGTACACTAATGTCCCGAAGATACTTTTACAGACGACAGTTACACCTCACTTTGAGCGGATTGGACGAAATTCGCTACTTAATATCGAGAAGATAATTCAATTGTGTAACTTTCAGTTACTTAGTGTACTTAAAGTCAAAAATAGCAAATTATTTTTGGGTAATTTTATTTTAACATTACAGATAAGTAGATCAAATCAAACTTAATGCCTCCAATTTATATTAAAAAAATCGAAAATTAATAAAAAATAATCAATAAAACTTTAAGGGCGACGTACACTCGCAGCCGCACATGTAAAAATTCACGTCCTTCTTCATATTTTTTTGTGTGTTATATTGTATCTTAAGTATTTTATCTACCGTTGGGCGGCACTTGGCATAAAATTTGTTATGAAATTCAACACAAAAAGTGAAATAAAAAATCAAAAATAATAAAATAAAATTACAAGGATCATGTGAAAGACACTGTACCAGTCTGTACGTGTATCTGAAGTCTTGTGTCCTTTACTTTTCGGAAGTTGAACTTGTTGGCAACAAATATCGAAAGTCTCTTACGAGGAAGAAGCAGATATTTAAATAATTTTAAATCGATAAAATGATTCTGTGCTTTCGAGAAACTGAATATTAAAGTTTAAAACGAATTGGATTTTTATAGTATTAAGTGATTTTATATATTCCATTGGAATTGCCAAAAACATAAAAAATTCATTTCGAGTTCTCAATACATTACTGTGGGGATTATCGTTATAATGTATATGATGTAACTTCAAACAAAAATTATAATATGATTTTATATTATATATTCATTTTATATGGTTTTTAAGAATTCTATAAAGATTTGAAGTGCAAATTGTTGAGATTTGAATAAAAATTTATTGTATATTAAATATATTTTTAAAGTCAATTTGAAGAGACAAAACTTTTGCACTGAAGCCTTAACAATTAAGAAATTATAAAAGTTGATTGCAGTTTCCATAGGATGTAGCTTTAAAGTTTGTTCAAATTAAAAAAAACACAAAAACTGCTGTTGTTGTTATCATCTGATAATTCAGAAAAAATTAAGAAAACAAACTTGAAATTTTAATAACATTATTTTCGCTTAGCTTAGGCTCGATTAGTTAAAACACACAAAATCCTTGCTTCTAATTTGACAGATACAAAGTTCTAAGCCTAACACTTGTAGTTCATAAGCTATATACTATGTGGACGTATAAAACCAACGAATATTTGCAAAGATCGCTGATGACGAGTATTTGACAATAATCGGAACAGAAGGTGTGATCAGTCAAATAATTCAATAAATAAAAATATAATTTAGTTATTGTAATACTTTAATACTTAAGTACTTCTTACTCTATTATTATTATGTTGAGGCTAGTTGACTCAGTGCACTTGAGCACTTTACTCTCTATTAACTGCGAGATTTCTTCATAACCTCTCTCTACGCCTTGACTGGATTATTGTTTATCAGTTTATCAGACTAAACAATAATTGACCTCAGATCTGCATACCTCCCCGAGGAGCCTACAAACATTCTGAGATTCGATACCGCGGTGTTGGTAAGCCTGTCAGTTTTCGTAAATAATTTCAGGACTTTATAGTTTATGTATTTTTTGATCGGATCAATCTTGAGGTGAAATGAAAACACCTTCACTAAGATTTGTAAAATGATTAGACTTTTAACAAAAGCAGGCAAATATTTAAAAATACTGTAATCTCAAGTAATAAGAGCTTGCGCAATATGTATTATTAATATTTATTTTATCTATAAATAATTAATGGAAAGAAAACTTTTTTATTAACATATTATCACTGGCAGTCGACTAAATAGGCGACTAACTTATCCCAAACACATTGAAGCCAAAAAACTGCGAAGGAAGTTCCAAATTGCTCTAAGTTGCATTGCCTCTTTATAAATAGATAAAAGAGTATAAAATATTTTTGTATATTTTTGTATATTTTTGCATCATAAAAACAATATGGACTTATGATATCCAGCTATTTGGTAATGCTAAAGCTTCAAATATTGAAACTACCGAATGAGCTCAGTCAAAAGTACTGAATAGAATCATCATCGAGATCTCAAAACTCGCGTAGTTGAAGCTAAACTTGACAATATAAGAAAAAAATAAGTTTCTCGAATCTTTTAAAAATTTTAATATAAAAAAAAATTTTATATTACTTAAGGTATAATTAATTAGAGAATAATTTCAATTGTCAACATGCGCATTACTTTTAATAGCATATGATGTCCTTACACTTTTGATCTAAATTTGAATATTTTGATCAAGAAAATAATGTCTGTTGTATATAAGAAATGCTTTCCGAATTTCTATTAGACTCATAAGTAAATTAGCTTTATTTTTTTTTTATTTATGTGATTTCTTTTATACACTTATAGATTTCTATAGGTTAATTTGATAATTACTCACCGGTCAGCAGCGATGGCCACCAAATGTAAAATTGAAGCAGTACAGCAAAGAACATCACAAGATGTCCAAATATCACATAGCTCTGGTCCCATAATCCAACCCTCACTTATCTAAAATTACAAAAAAAAAAATGGCTTATTTAATAAAAATAAAAAATATATTAAATGGAATAAGTTGGTTTCAGATACAACTAATCGTTTTAAAGATATTGTACTTCGAAGCAAAGTAGAACAGATAAAAGTTGATTACTTTTTATCAAGCCTAAAATTGGACAAAACTTCAAAGTTATGCAATTTCAAAGATTATTATTATTATGTATCTCACATAACTATAATGCAACCACATTAATTTGTTTTTTATATACACATTATTTGGCATAGAGAATTATCTGCTATCTGCCTAATTCGATAATAATGAAACTCAACATTGCCAAGTCATAATCGTTTATAAATTGCAAGTATTTTGTTGCCAAATATTTGTTAAGTATTTTATATAAATCGAGATATCCTTAATATTCAGGATAACATGTGCAACTGAAACTAAAAATATTTATGCAAACCGTAAAGAAAATTATAGCACCAAACGTGGTGCCAACACCACAAGTTGGTGACGCAGTTGGTGGAAAATTTTTTAGGTGGGAAATATACAAGTATCAGTAAATCACCAAACAACTCTGGAAATTTACGACAGAATGGAATGAAGTTTTTGGATACTTGATTGCTTTATTGTTCATGCAACAATCCAAATTGCCATTCATGCAGTACTTTGTATGCAAACCGAAGAGAACTGTTTGTGGTGCAGATATTTTCATTCATAAAAAGAAGAATATTTACTGAAATATTTTTGTATTTGACTGGGTTTCGGTACAATTTCTACGTGTATTAGATAAAAACTTGAGTTGCCTATTCATACTTATATTTGCCACTTAAATATTTAAAATGGTAAAAATCAGTCGAGGGACAAACTCAACAAGCGACAACTTGTTTCGATTTTTAGAGTGTTTTCTTGAGGATTCCTAAAATCTAGCAAAAATTTGTGTTAAATAAAGTGTGATATGAATAAAATTGCTAAGTACGAGTTTATTTTAATATAATATTATTTTACAACCTAATTTTGTTAGTGGTAGTTATATATATACATATTTATCAAAGTCATCATATTATGACAATAGTTTACAATACGAATTCTTAAACCATGCTCAGTGGAGCTTTCAACTTTCTACAGTTCACTTCCCAGTGAAGCAGTATCTTAACTTTCTGTAATATTGGATTATTTACAATACATCTGCATGTATTTATATATATTTGAACAAGTACTATATACAATACTTATCTGAATACAGTTTATATTTCACCATATCTTCTATGTCAATGTTCGATTAAAAATGTTTTTTTTTCACGGCAAGAATTCTATCTTCGAATAGAAGATAATATTAACGAAATTCTTAAATTCAAACATGTAAATAATAATCAAAAGACTTCTTGGAATAACCCCAACACATATTTAAATACCACCAACTATTTATCAATAGTACTCTTTAGAAATATCTACTGACTTAATTTTCAGCATATATTTTTTGAAATATAAGTAAGGCTAATAAGGCCCTCCAGAAAATGCGATCTACGGGACAAGGAAGCTCTAAACAAGAACATTGTAACATCATCTGCAGCTGCCATGCAACAAAGCACGAATTCAGAATTGGATTTACGTTAAGCCGAAAGACTTGCCAAAATTCATATTAAGGTACGGATTACATCACCCTAATTTGTGCACAAGCACCGACGGAAGATACAGATGACGATAGCAAGGAAACTTTCTATGAACAGCTTGAACAAGCATATGAACGCTGTCCCCTCATGACGTCAAAATCGTTGTAGGGGACTTCAATGCAAAGGTGGGTAAAAAAGGTGTTTTTGGTACTAGTGTCGGAAAGTTCAACGTTCTTACAAAAACTTCTGATAAGAGAAGTAGGCTAACTGATTTCGCCGAGACTAGAAACATGGTGGTTAGTAGTACCAGATTCCAGTATCTCTACACACACAAGGCTTCATGGCTGTCACAAGATCAAATCAAGATCTCAAATTGATAACGTTGTGATAGACGGAAGGCATGTGTCCAGTGTGAGGGAGCTATGTACTATCCAAGAAGTCAATATCGACTCGGATCATTATCTTGTTGCAGCCAAGATCCGTCTTCTGCCTTTTCCGCTTTTATTATTATATTTACTTTCAATAAAAATAATGATAATATGGTATAGGTATAATATTATATATTATATGGTATAATAATTACTACACATGACTTCACACATATTTTCAATGCTCTCTGTCTATGCCATGTTGAAATTATTATACTATACAGCTCTTAATTAAATTATTTTTGACCCCATATACATTCATCTTTTAAATTAACTTCAATTTTTAATTAAAACCGCGTTAAGACTATTAAAACAAAAAGGATTCAAAATAAAATTGTAAGGAAACTTCAGTTCCTGCTGTGGCTATTGCCATCAATGGCTTCTCTGTCATCAAAGCCATCACGATGAAAGCATAAAATTCTTACCTCGTATACAGCGCCAAGTGGCATAACTAAGCAAGCAACAAACAAGTCAGCAACAGCCAGCGATGCAACCAAATAATTAGCAACATTTTGCAAGTTGCGCTCGAGTATGATGGCACAAATCACAAAAACGTTGCCTTTTGTTGTTCAATATACATTTTTTATATACATTTTAATTTTTTTTTTCATTTTTTTTTAATTTTTTTATCATTCAAGCAACATTGAGAGAGCAATGACATTCAAGTTGTTGCAAGTGGAGCAAAGTGTCATTGGTGTCGTTGATGTTGTTGAGTTGTTGTTTTTGTTGTTGTCACATAAAAGTTGTTAGCGTTGTTGTTGATGGTGAAAGGCAGTAGAAGCAACAGTAACAGCAGCAGCAGCAGCAGTTGTCATTTGTGACGTTGTAATGTTATTGATAATTGCGATAATTACATTGACAGCCATTTTAATGTGGGTTGAGGTGTGTGTATGCGTGTATGAGTAGGTATACGTGCAGCAATTTTGCGTTGTTTTTTTGTTGTTTTTTTTTGTTTGGTGTGTTTTTTATGGTGCCAGCAACACGTGCATTTTTCACAGCATAAAGTGGAGCAAAAAATTGTCGAGTACATAAGACGACGAACATGAAAAGAAAAGAAATGGAAGAAAATTAAATAAGCATTTGTTCCTTCTTCCTCGTAATAAAGTAGAGCTCAAATATCCTGGGTAAGCAAAAATTGCGCCTTTCGATGCTCTACATTATTGGGAGGCAATATTAGTGTGGTTTAAGCTTTGAAATAATTTTCATAATTTAAATAAAATTTAAATATATAAGTGTGCATTTGTGATATGTAAAAGATATTGCACTTGAAATAATCTATAAAATTAAAAATGAAAATTATAAATACTCTACATATATTTGAATATATTTACAACATCTAAATTATTGCATTTTTTTTATTTCATTCAATCTTTTCAAATAAGAGATAAAATTGTAATAATTATTGCTCTTTTAATAAAAAATTGACTAAAATTAGAAAAGGATAAACTAATTATATAAAAGAATTTTTCGTCAAGACAATGCGAGTGCTCATATACCTCATCAAACAACCGACAACTTAAACATTCAAAAAATCGAATTGATGGGTCATCGGCCTGATTTGAATTTAAGAATAATAAAGAATAAATTGCGTGGACAACGATTTTTGTCGGCGGAAGAAATCGTTGTTGCATTTAAAAACCATTCTTTGAAGGTATCTGAAGAAGATTGAACAAATTCTTTGACCAATGATTCGAACGCATGTAAACGTGTATTAATCATAAAAGACAATACTTCGAGAAACAATAAAGCAATTTTCAACAAGTTAATATTTTTTCATTATGGAGCTCAAAATATAAATATCGATCCTAGTACAATTCAAATAAACTTTAAAGTATTCTGCAGGACCGATTTTAAATGACTTTTTTCTATTTTTTTTTTGTTTTGTGTTTTCTATTAATATTATGTCATATTGTCCATTTCACTTTTCACTTTCAATTATTTTTTAAATTTTTAGATACCCGTAATTTGAAATTAGAGTCATTGTCTATAAATATAAAAGAGGAGATAATTTTTTTTAACTTCGCTTTCATTCGAAAATGGTTTAATAATGTATTTGGTTTCACTTTACAGTGTACTCATCAAAAATAAAGTATGAAATAAGAATACTTTACATTATCCTTACCTTTAGGAATTTATTTTATTGATTGAACAGGCATTTTACTGTGGAGGCCAGCATGTCATATTAAACTATAAGCTACCTACGTTCATATTAATTCAATCTGTCTATTAATATCTTGTAATACAATAAACTTAATTTAGTAAGAAATAAAATGTGAAGTAAAATGTTTTTAAGGTAAATTTTTGTTTTTGTTTTAACTAAGGCATGATTATATTCACAATAATTTATTTTCTACTATCTTTTTATAATGTTTTAAAGGAGTATGATCACCATATTAAAATGCCTAGAGGCAATATTCTTTAAGAAATGTCTCTAAAAGAAAATACTCACACATTTTTGTATAGATTTTGTATGACAAATGCGACAAATTATGTACAACATAGCTATCAAAATAAAATTAAAAATGCAATTACTATTTTAGTATAAAATTATAATTGAAATAACTATATCTACTACAGTACAAATATTGGAGAACACTTACTTTGTCAAAGTTATCTGAATAATATTAACCATTTAATATGAATGATATTAACCATTTAATGAATATGATTTAATAGTTGTAGTTTAATCTTCTTCTTTATATAGTACCCCAACATATTTTCACCTTAAATTGAATATGGTATAACTCTTTTAAATTAAAAGTGTTTAAGTGAGCCGTATCTTCCTATGAGACGGGCTACCACTGATGGCTACCATCTTCATTCATTAATCTTCATCTATTTCTAGAACTTTACTATGTAAACTACTCAAGATTTTATTCACTACTGTGAGCAAGACAAATAACGTAAGTCATTAAAAGACTTTTTCCATTTTTTTCTACATTTAATGGTTATCTCAATTGCCAAAGATATCCCTAATATTAGTTCTGAAATAACAATGTTGTCTAACGAATAGTGTGTGGTTTTTACAAAAATACTATAAATTACAACTTTTTACTAGAAATAAAAATTAAGCGTTGAATTTAAGTTTTCACTTTAATAGAAATTTTATTTTATTTTCATTTTAAATTTATTTTATCGCCAATAAAGCTTAGAAATATTTTTTCTCAATTCAATGCGCAAAATTTTATTTTTTAGTGGTTCCGAGTGAAATTTTTATGACAAAAGTTTTTTGTGAATTCAATTTTATTTTTATTTATTTCTATTAGTTTTCCATTTTCAGGTATATTTGATATATGAATAGAGTTGTTTCATATCAAATAAATTACATTTAAATGTCACTACAATTTAGGAATATTCGATTTTTTTATATTTATTTTCTATTATTTTTATTGTAAAAACTTAAGAAAATTTTAGGATTCATATTTTTAAGAAAATTGTTATTTGTCATTCACACAACTAATAACGTAAATAATAATTCATTTAATAGTTAAATATATTTATCATATGCTTTTGAAAAACTACAAGCATTATAAAAGTTCTACTAATGGAATTCTTATTCGTTGTTTAGCGGTCCAGTTTTAGCAAGAATCTACCATTTATGAAAAAGATTTCTTGAGGACCTTTAAAAACTTTTGTGTCACAAAAATCTTAAAGAAAATAAATTGGTCAAAGTAATGCAGTTATCTCGTAAATCGATAATATATATAATATATATCAGAGACAGCAGCTCTCTATAAGAACCATACCTCCAGAACATCTCAGTGATTGGTGCTCATTACACTCATTACCCAACATAAGAATAATGTAATGACCTATGGACTATCTATGTGAAGTTTTCAATAGAAACCTACTTAATATACAATATAAACAAAGTTGGTATATAAAGCTATAATAGCAACGACAACACCAACAGATAAATCAATAAATTAACTAACTGTATTCCATCATGTCCTATAGTGATCGCTATTAATGATCTGTTCTATTTCAATGTGATAGATGTAATCAACTTGCATCTCAAAACACGGATGCCATAACCTTATCAGTTGACTGCCGCGTTTTCGATAGCTTTGGTCTAGGTTAACGGGTTGCTGTTCACGCCGATTCAATTCTGGGGTAATGTGATAGATCCAAATTTCAGCCATTGTTGCATGCCGATGCAAAAAGTTCTTTTTATGTCGCTTCCACTAATACAAATAGCTCTCAGAGCTATCGACATTTTCTTGTTTTTGGTCAGCTGTCAGCAAACTCGGCAGTAACTTTGCGAAGAACCGTTGGCGTTTTCTCATAGGAAAGTGTTTATAAGAAATGAAGCTGATACCTTCTATTGAAATTTTTAAGGTAATAGCTCTCACTTCACTTCACTTCATAAAACAATTTTGTGGACTTTTTTGATATTTTTAGCTTTTTTTAAACGATAAGTTTTAAACGAACTTTTTGCATTCTGTTACTTTTATGCATCAAATTAAAGAAGACTTAGTTAACAATAAAATTATATAGGATTTAAGTTATCTTAATAAATTATTTTTTAGTTTTTTATTTTATTTGGAACATATTTACTATTTTATTATGAATGCATTTCACTTTGACTTACCCTTACACAGTTTGTATTAAAATGAGTATACTTTTCCAGTACGGTTGCATTCATCTCTTCGACTGAGACCTTAATATTTTCATGAGATATATGAGACAAACCCTATATATAATAGATTTGTATCACCTTATACAATACATTCCGTACACAAGCATTTTAACCTTCCCATTGTGTTCAACTTGTACAGTTGAAAGTGTTATTGTTATCGTGAGGTTTATAAAAATTTATTTCGCTGCTAAGTTCATAGAAAATAATATTAAAAATATTTTCCTTGAAAAAAACTACTCTCATGAGCTGATGCCGAACAATTAATCAAAAATAAAAACTTTTTTCTAAATTAGTTGAACAACATTTTCCCCTACATAAAACTTTGAGCGCACAACAGAACAGTAGTACCCTCAATACCGCATACATAGTCTGGGTTAATAGCGCAAATAAAATAATGAGGACAACAAACGATGGTGCATAGTCACTGGTAGTTTATGAAAAAAGAAATTATATAAAACAAAAGCAATGAGTTTCCTGCAAACTAAACAATTGTTATCAAACGGATAAAGTACTTTTAAACTGCAGAAGCCCACAAATAGATACTGGCACGCTTATACTCATATATATATATACTTACCGATAACTGTTATAAGTATCATGAAGCCCAAAATAATCGATAATGTGACCACTTTAAACATGACCACAAAACGATCATTCGCCATTTGAACGTCGGTGACATTTTCGAATAGCGGGTACGTCCCATTGCTGTCATTAAGTGGAAATGCTTTGTTGGTCGTGTCATTGCCGTCTATTAGCAAAGGATTGGTCTCGAAAAATAAGTTCACATATGATGTCGCGAAATTCGTGTCATTGTCATCTTTAAATCCGCTTGTACTATTAAACGCATTGCCAATACTCGGCATGTCGATGGATTAACACTTTTTAACCTACTGGGAATTCAGTTACTAATTTATTAGAACTCCTTTTTATAGTTGGTATGAGTTGTTGTTGTTAAGCTTCGAACATCTGAAAAAGTAATATTTTTAAATTTGCAGTGCCAAAAAAAATTATCAAAAAGTTCTTTAATAGTTTATTAAAGAGATATATTTAGTTACTTTAGAATTTAATAAAGGAGATGAAATAAATCATAGAAGACAATGAAATATTTACAGCATGTATATGTATGTATATATGCATATGTATGTAGGTATGTATTATAAAAACTATTAGGATAGAAAGAGTTTTTTGTTACCCATTTGAGCTTTACAAGTTTCTATGAAAAATATTAAACAATAATACATGCAAGTTAATTCTGAACAATACAACAAGCAGTTTAACAAAAAAACATGTCCTTTGTTGTAGGTGAAAAATATTTTATTTATAGTTAAAAAACAAAAAAAAAACTTTTTAAATCCTTTTTTTCATAAAATGAAATTGCATGCACAAAGCAAAAACTAAAAAGGAAAAATTCAGAAAAAAAAGTGTAAAGGAAAACGTCATTATAAATAAAAAGTATTATTTCTTTTTTATATACAAAAAAAAATAATTATAAAAAATATGTTCTTTTAAAAATTAATAAACAGATATTACATATGTATCTTTAAAATATTATTAAAGCAATGTCCTTGCTAGAAAAAAATTGAAGAAAAATATTTATTTTTGCTGTAACTAAATAGTTTTAAAGATATCAATCTCGTTGAAAGCTTAAACAAAAATTCACTATTCTCCTACTTAGTTATTATGTCATACACAATTTAAATTAAATTTTGGAGTCCAACGTACCATTCCTGATTTATGCTCTTATTATGTTGAAGCTATTTGAGCCAGTGCACTCGAGGTATTTTCAAAACCCCTCTTTACACCTTGACTGGATTATTGTTTATCACTTCATCAGACTAAACAATAATTGACCTTAGATCTACATACCTCCACTAGGCGACTGTAACAATTATGCTCTTATTCACTAGTTTGTATTAAATATTGGGCTCCTAAATAAAAGAGGAAAATGCATTTGCTGAAGTGCTACAAATTTTAATTCTTCAAGGTTATTGTGGCTGCTTAGTAACATAGAATTGGAAGGAAATTATATATTATGCGCTGCCCCAGCATATTGCAGTGGTTAATTCAATCTTCAACTATTTACAGTTCGACCACTTAAATAGAACAATCAAGAAAAAGTGACCAAATTGACCAACTGGATATGAGCTATGTTTTATAATGACAAAGTCAAGCTAAACACTCAATATTAACTCAGAACAAATTGAACGAATTTATCTGAAAGTCCAGATCCTGCACAAACTGATTATTATTTGTTTTAGTCTCTGCAAAACTCTCTTACTTACTTACTTGCATACTTTTTTGACCATAAACACCCGTTATCGGATTTTGGACTAACGCAAAACTCTCTTATTTGTTGAAAATTGGGGAACCTAGTTAGTTAGTTGCGGTGGAGAGAATAACGAGTCCTCCTCAATTAGCTAAAAAAGCCGTTTTGAATCCACAAACCCCGTAATAGTGGATAGTAAAGAGAAGGTCAAGCTAGAACCAGCTAGTGACATTTATAAAGGCAAGAATCTGGCCAATGTTAATACTAGAGAAACTTAAGCCTAGTTCTGACCAAACCTGCACACAAACACATCAGATTGCGAACCAAAAAGTCGCTAAGAATCTTGTCTAAGTTTTCCGTCAATAAACCACAGAAGTTCTAGTAATAGTAATAATAGCCATTATAAACACTATTAAAATTTATTTTTAATTTAAAAAATTTGTATTCAAAAATGTCCTGAAAATGAGGATACTCTTTTGTTTATTTACATATTTTTACACATTTTTAGTTTTTCATGTCAATTTAAATACTTGGGATAGATTAAAGCGTCAAAATAACCACAAAATTGTAAGTTTCGAGTTAATTACATTCTGCACAGAAACCAACTTACAGTTGACAACTGACAACTGACAACATAATAAAAAATGCATTAAGGTACAAATGCGACACAGGAAAAGTGGAAATTATATGCAGGAACATATTTTAGCTTGTATGCAGTATGGTTATGACATTGCCATATTTTGGCAAAAAGTGAGTTCCGTATCAAAATTGTATATTTTTTTGTATTTCCATGTATTTTCATATATTTCAAAACCTGAAGTAGCAAATATTCCTGAGAAACATCTGTAGGAACAGTACAAGCAGCTACCCAACCAGCCAAGGCCGTATCAACAACAACACGTGGCAGTCCGAATATTTTACATTATTTTGAACTTAACACAAAATGTTGTTTTCGTTCGCATTTCCATATATATTTGCATATGCAAGCAACAGCACCGACAGATCCTTTACGAGTACATAACCCTTTGGTGCAAAGTGAAGTGCGAGTTGAAGTCTAACATGGCAAAGTGAAGTAGCAAACAGCAATTGTTCGCACACAATCGCCAAAAAAAGGATATAGAAAAATAATTGACATTCATTTCCTTCCGTTACGTGCATGCTTTACCTTTACTCTATAGTATTTGTGTATGTATGTGTGTGTGTGTGTGTGTGTCACAATGTCAGTGCATTTGTACTATGTCAGGATAATGCATATTCGTATGCATGCTCTGTCAAGTTTTCCATTGTACTGGCAAACTTGCTTGCCGCTTTCCCTACCATTGCAATGTTTCTGTTTTTAGGTTTTCCATCCTTGCGTTTTTGGGGTTCTGAATTTTTTTGGTTAAATGAGCTTTGATTGAAAAATGGCAGTTAAACTGTTGTCTTGGTTTTTAAATGCATGCGCTTGTTTTTAAGCAATCGTGACGCTCAAAGGAAACGACAAATGAAAAAACGAAAACAGATTGTAAGTTTCGCCATTTCTGACTTTTTATCTGTGTTATTGCTCTGCCATGGTATTTCCATGAAAATTGCTTATGCTACCTCCTGTAGCAAGGACATAGATTTAAGAGCGGTTTTATAATTGATTGATTGCCTTTCAGTTTACGACAATAAACCTTTAACAAGAGGAAATGTTATTTAAAAGGACGACAGACTAAAAAGTACTATCAAATGACGAAGCCATTCGAAGGTTAAGTAAGAACCAAAAAAAAAATATGTACTGCACCGGTGTAGTTCTTTAAGTTTAGTTTTTGGAATAACAGCGAATACGAAATGCTTGAGTTCGCTTAAAGTTGGTACTTAACAAAACTACATTTGCATGGAAAATACTTTTTCCAGTTGACCTTAAGATAAAAAATGAACAAAATGTACCTTAATTGATATTTATCTGCCAACATCTTTAAAGAAAGTGAATATTGCAAAGGAAAAATAAAATTGAAACTGAAATATTCTCATAATAATCCCGAGAAGTGAGTTGAATATAAATACAAAATTAATTCCAATGGAAGAAGCATGTAGAGAAGAATCTGTAATTCCTCCCATGAAAGATATTTTGCCAGCAATCACAGGATTTACTAAATAAAAAGCAATCTTCAATCGATAGGAAAGCAAATAAGAAAAGGAATATTAAATGGCATTCTAGTAAGGATGAGGCGCTATGTACAGCAACAAAAAATGTAACATCGAAAATATTATAAAAAAAAAGAACTCTTACAAAAAAATCTCAATTTGAAAATTTGCAAAGAAGCTGCAAAGGAGCAAGCAGCAGATAATGCAAGCTCAATATAGTTGACAGGAATATAGTTCTCATAATCATAAGAATATGAACTATATTCTTAGGCAGAGGTCCGAAGAATACAGAAATGGTTACTAACACCAAAATAATACATGGAGCCTAATGTGTTGCAGTTATATGTATAAAAATAGATGGACGTTTAGAATGTGACATTGGACAATATACCCAAATTTTTACTTGTGGTGCGTCTTTAGAGACCCATTATTTGCATACTGTGGAATGTAAAATACACTTTTGCGTTTTAAGGGTTTCAGCGTTAGTGAGTGCTTTGAATGACACTAGAAAATTTGTATATCTTAATGTGTGAATTACGGAAGTAGTTTTTTATTCTTTAAAAATTTGATTTAATTAGAAATCAACAATAGTAGCTACATATCGCAAATTCACCAACATTGAAGCCACTCAGTGTGCTGTAATAAGGGCACTATAATTTTGAAAGGACATTCAAATGATCTCTTTAGTATGTATATACAGCGCATATGTACACAAAGTGTGCTATAGAAAAGACGGATGATTTTCGGTAAGACATCAAAGTAGATTTTATTTAATGAAAATTTCGCTATATAATGATAAACATAATATGAGATCCCAGATTTACCAATGCAATTGCAGTATTATCGCTACTACTGTAAGAATACGAAACTAAACTTATTACCACTACTTCTGGTATTGATATCCCAAACTTACAGCGAATCATAGAGTTCTTGGAATTCCAAACTATATTAACTTGACAATAAAGCAGCTGACATTATACATATATAAGAATTATGAAATCTTCTTCGATTCAACTGTAATGATCAAACTCATTTATACTTAATACAGTTGTCAATGCCTAGTTAGCCGACGGAATCTATAATCACACGTATTTAACTTTTGCTGTATGTATATAATTTTGTGTGTCAGCAAGCTAAGGTAGTCCACGCATTATAGATATTCTAGTTGAATGAAACTCATGTGTACTTAATAGCGTTTTGAATTAGGTTCCAGAACCATAACTTTTCAATAATATTTTTATTTTGCTTGGATTAATCTCGACTCAAAGTTTTTGGGTAAAAAAAAAGTATGTATATAAACACCGTTGCGTTAATATCGCACCAAGCACGTACTTTGTGCATTCAACATTTCCTGGATGTGCGAAATTGGACTATTGTATTCCTTTTCTATCTTCAGTGTTCACATTGAAATTGGTGCATTGATTAAACATTTTGTTTTAAAACTATATTCTGTTTAAATGAAAATTTAATTAAAACTTGTGTTGTGTAATAATTACTCTGATCATTAATAATTTTCCTCCGCGAATAAGTACACATATATATACATATACATACATATCTCTCTCTTATCCTCATCTCCCAGTGGAGCATA